ATGTCAGATTTTATGTATATCTTACAAATATCTGAACCTTTTTGTTGGCATTGTTGAACAGGAATGAAATTGAATCTGTCATAAATCAATTGTGATATGCATTGATGACATGTGATCTTCTAGAAAGTTTTTTGAAAGAGTGAATAATTAGACTGCCATGCATTTGGTGCATGTATGCTTAAATAATTGAAAATTAACACACGCAAGAAACACATGTTCATGTAATAGACTATTAACCCTCAACCCATTAGATTTAAATGTAAGTGATGTCAGTACATGAATGTGACAAATGTACTATTATTAGATACCGGTAAGCATACTGTGGATTCATTATTGTTTGTAGGATACCAGTTTTAGTGGATTTCGTGGGTACATATGAACCACAAAATTTAAATGTTCAACGAAGTACAAACAATATAAAGACTTAAATGTGGACTAATGTAAAACCAGGAAATCAAATACCAACAAAAATGCAATTTTTCCTGAATCCACAAAAATTGGTACCCTCGAAAATTAATTAATCCACAGTAAAAGTGTATTACAGTATAAGTTTAAATTTGTCCTCAAGATACATTACAAAATCAAGAAGGTCCACAAATAATAAAATCAGTTGCCACATATATATATATATATATCACCTTCACTGGTGATCCAATGGATGGATCTGTCGTAGAGTTGTCACTTGTTTAGACGTACTTATGAAAATAATTATTTCTGTGACTGTATCTTACGATCCTTTACGATAGATATTTAGCTAATCTGCAATCAATTCCATCTTCATGCCTAATATATCATGTACTGTGTTTCAACTCTAGATTCTACTGACGAGGAAAGGTAACACTAGGCCACCGAAAGCTGAATTATTAGTTGAGTCTAGGTGGCTGAGTGGTCTAGAGCACTGGACACAGTGCAGGCATTGTTGTCTCTATATCCCAATAGCACAGGCACTCGTCTCAGAAAAAAATTTCCTATATATCTTTATATAAAGAGTGCCTGTGCCCAATAGCACAGTTTGAAACCCAGCCAGGGAAGAACAAAAAAAAATTGCTTTCGCAAATTTGCAGATTTAACATTGTTGTGCTGATATTTAGAGAATTATGAATATAATATGTGTTTTCAGCCGTGTATCTCCTTCACATGTGATCCAATGGATGGATCTGTCATAGAGTTGTCACTAATGTTTAGATAGACTTATATATATATATATATATATATATATATATATATATATATATATATATATATATATATATATATATATTTAAACAGTTTTATCAAAAACCAAAGGAATAAACCTTGAACTTCTTACTATTTAACTAATGCAATTATTTGTTTTGATTTAATAATCGCAATGTACATTAAGCTGCAAAAATATATTTAAAAGACATGTACAATAAACTGCAAAAATATATTTAAAAGACATGTACAATAAACTGCAAAAATTTCTTTACAGCATCAGATTTTTACCTAGATGGCTGCATGCGCCTGATGAAGCTTATTTGTTTAGCGAAATATTGCGTGAATATATAAAATATAACAATTTTTTTTATAACACTCATTAGTGTGTTAAAGTTACATTCTTAGGCATATATATATATATATATAAACAAGTCTAAATTGAAAACAACCTTCAAACCTATGATTGCGTTGGATAAAAACCGCAATTTTTATACGTGTGCATGCAAAACAAATTTCTTTGTAGAGGGGTCTAAATACAGCACAAACAACATTTTCCAAAAGACCAAAAAAGTGAAAAAGTATATTTTAACAAAACGCATTTGACTAGCAGGTCAAACAACGGATGTTCTTAAACCCTGCTGACTGCCATGGCGATTGCCAAATAAACGGATCACAGATGTAACACAATGGATCTTAATTATATTAATTTAATACCAAACAGAAAACAATAAACTTGCAGAAAAGATGGTATATCGCAAACATGAGGTGCAAAAATTTGTACACCATATCCGGATTTCGACAATTAATGTCTCTTCAGTGATGTTAGGAATCGAAACGGTATTTGGAAGGCCATATAATTTACCTCAATTTGGGATTGACTCTTGAATTTTGAAGAGTCGCGGATCATATAAACCCGAAGGCAAATATAATACAAGCCCAAACGAAAAAATATAAACAAGTCTAAATTGAAAACAACGTTCAAACCTATGATTGCGTTGGATAAAAACCGCAATTTTTATACGTGTGCATGCAAAACAAATTTCTTTGTAGAGGGGTCTAAATACAGCACAAACAACATTTTCCAAAAGACCAAAAAAGTGAAAAAGTATATTTTAACAAAACGCATTTGACTAGCAGGTCTATATATATATATATAAAATATCTAGATATTAGTCAACGATCTTTCTTATGAGGGTGCTGGATCATTATGAGTAACAATACCTGTACACAATACCTGTACACAATAAATATAAACACCTAAAAAGTGTACAAAACAACACCAATATTAAAAAAAAGGAATGTACATGTGTATTCTAGTCTGCATGAAAATCTGTCACATCAGAATATCTTTTATTGTCAGTCAAATTAGCTAATAAGGTTTCTTTGAACAATCTAACTTTAAACAGTAGAATAGTTTGTATCTAACCATGTTACCAAATGTCAGGTATTCTGCAGGAATATTAAAAGCCATGGCTATATGATGATATAACTAGTTTTACTTTTTTCTCTTTTAAATGGTTGAGTCAATGAGATCCATCACCCTAAACCATATATTTTCTTGTTTGTCATATCCATATATACATAATGGGTGATATGAGTCCCAATGGGTATATGTTTATGGGGACTTTGATTTGGAGACTTCATAACCATGATAACAGCTTCTTGTTAAAATTATTACTTGTTTATGAATTGCCTTTCTAAAGGGGATGAATTTCAGGACTTTCTTTATCTATATATATGTAATAGAAATAAATATGTAGATCTGATACAAACATGACAAATGAATACTTCCAATTTTTTTTCCTATTTAAAACAAAATGTGTCTATAAATTAAAGTAGTGAGTGAATTAAAAAAAACAATTGTATCTACATAAGCATTCGTTGTTTTATTTTATTTAAATGTACATGTAGTTTCAACATTAATTTACATTCAATTGTTGTGTATATGATGTTATTGTTTCATTTGTTCAGTTTGTTGTTACATATTATAACGTGGTAAGACTTGAGTTATTGCTGGACCATTCACAATAAGTCCAAAGTTTTAGAAAGTTGAAAGCATGTGTCACAGATTGAAAATTTAATTTAGGCTGAGAAATAAAGAAAGCTGACAAAACCAACAGATTTGATGAAAAACTACTTGGATTACATGTTAATAACATTTAAATGGGTAAACATTTTGACCTAACTGTTGACACAAATCACATTTTGAAATGGATTTAAACAGACAATGCTACATATTGATAAAGATCAAAATTCAATACACTTTATTATCTATATATTATATACTGTGTACAGAACACTCAGTTTTTGATGACGTCTTTATTTAAACAAAATTAGTTTTGATTTCGCTCTTAACACAATTTAATCATTCTTGGTAGGGAACATATACATCCATTGTTCGCTGTTTTAGTTGAGTGTGAAAATTTGTACACTATTATTTTCTAATTAATATTTTATAAGTCAAACAGTTCAAATAGACATACAACCAGGTTAAATTTACTGTTCAACTCACAATTTTCAATCATCATGATCATATGAAATTTATTTTCAAAGAAGTTTAATATTGTCACATTTATTTGATAAAATAAATAGATAAGAATATAACTGGTGTGTTGGTGTAAAAAAAAAAGAAAGTTTTTTTGTTGGAGTTGTCCATTATTTACATGACATAAGGGTACATGTAGAAGATATAGAGTTCAATCAGGGTTTCCAAGCTTTGTGAGTCTAATAGTATGAGAAAAGCAGTAAGTGCAAGGTTGTATCTTACTAATAAATTACAGATGTAATATATTACTCCTATGACCATGATGACCTTACGGACACAACTTTTCTGCACCAGTACTAGCCCTGTTTATTTGTATGCTTCATTGCAGATGACTGTATATATATATATATATATATATATATACCATAGACATATTTATTATAAAGTTAATTTAAACTAAGTGTTGGAAAGCAAGTAGATGTTTTTTATGCTTTAAATTTGTTGACAGAAGAAAAATCGGTTGACACTCCTACCATTTTTGTGGTCAGAAGGATATTCACAGTTTGTTAAGCTATTTCAAACACTTTACAGTTCATTCCACTCAATATACCCTGACTAATCTAAATCAACAATAGTGTTATGATTGTACTTTTTATAAGGGTGTTATCTTAAAAACCTGCCCAATAGATATACAAATTACTATAGACATATCTTTAAAAGAAAGAAATGGTCGCTTCCAATTGAAATAGTGAAAAAAAATCATTTATAGAAAAAAGACATAAAAGACTTGGCATGAAAACTAAATTTGTCTTGCATGCATGAAATCCAACAACCATTTATCATAAACCATTGTTGCTCATAGTTATATATATATGATCTCTTTCCAGACCAGTTATCGTGAAAACTCTCTTTCACAACTATGGTAAATTAGGTTCTATGTCTTATTACTGTGAATTCACTTATTTTCGTTGGTACTAGTTTCGTGGATTGAGGATAAAATGTATTTTCGTGTACATTTGATTTCATGGTCTTTACAAAGTCTGCATACAGACCTATATGAAATGTGTTCGTTGAACATTTAAATTTATCATTCCCCTGTATCCACAAAATCTACGGCATTGGTATTTAGCGAATGGTAATGATTCCACAGTATATAAGTTACAAAGCTTAAGCGGGACCATTCGTGTCCTCAGACACATTCTTCTTTTATTTCTGATGCTCCAAACAAGAAGAAATGCCTAATTTTATTTAACCTGTTTAGATTGTTCATCATTTTCGGTATTTTGTAGATAACAATACACTATATATATATATATATATCTATTTTGTATTTCAGAATCTGATGAAAAGAAACCAGACATAATAGATGCAACCAAAAAAGGTATAAATACTTTATAACCTTAACATACTTTATAAGACTAAAAGGAGATGTGGTATGATTGCCAATGAGACAACAATCCACCAGAGTCCAAATTTTGTACTATAGGTCACCATAGGACCTTGAACAGTGAGCAAAACCCAGACCCTTTAGACAGCCATGCATGGTTAAACATGACAACATGTGAAACAATTTAAACAAGAAAACCAACAGCCTGATTTATGACAAAACAATAAACAAAAAACAAATATAGCAGAAAGTTGCCAATGACAACTATGCATTTGTTTTAATGTTGTGTTATTGTGTACTTCATCAAACAGTAAGTGAAAACCCTCCAAAAATACTAATGTAAAGAACTTTACATGACTAAAACAAAAAAATATATATTGCAGCGTTTTCATTATTCTTTAAATGAAATTTAAATAATTTTGCTGTTAATATTGAAATTATGCATCACAGTTGTGAAATATTAATTTAAGTATTAATCTATCCTGGCCATCTTTGAGATTGTATCGTAATCATGTTAAAAGTCACATTTACTTCTTGTTTTGTGGTCTTCATGGATATCTGTCAAAATGAAAAAAGAAAAAGATTCTTAACCCTTTTATCCCAAACGATGCCTTTTGCATTGCCTGGCGGGTGCCCACGAATCCATCAAGGCATCGCCTCCTGTTTACCCAATGATGTAACGATGCTTCAAGGCATCTTTTTTTCTGTATTTTTAAAATTAGTTTCTGAACAAAATAACAGGCATATGAACGAGAAAATTGACCCATTCGTTGAGCATATTATGAAATTTGTTTCTATGCTTAGTTTTGTGCAGTTGTACAGTTTAAAATAAGCAAAATACAGTAGAAACTTCGTTCATTGCAGGGGAAAATTAATTGCTTCCTCTGTGGAGCAACATGGGTTCAACAGCCGTTTATAACAATGTTTTACGTTTCAACAAAGGTCTTCTCTGGTGAAAATCACTAATATTTATTCCGTGACCTCATTTGCAATCATTTGCATATCAATATGGATATTTAGGGGGTATTTAATCCAAGATTTCATCGTTTTCAGATTCGGATGCGCTAACCTTTTGTTGCTTCATTATTTCTTCGATTGTGCCTGCAAAAAGCCACGGCAAACATTTTATTTCATCCAAAAATGAGACCGCATGCAAATCTCCATTTGTGTTTTGTTTTTTAATTCTATCTTATAAAAAGATGACAGCCTTCAGTTGACCAATAAAAATCGGGATTCCGTTTCTTACGTCGTAATATCATGTGCTTGAAGTAAAAGAAATGTGCACGTTTTCGGAGCTATGAACACAAAATATACTTAAGACTGAGAGAAATGTTCTTGGTGAATGGGACAAGGTATTAAATGCATCTTATTGTATTTCTACTAATAATTGAGACTGTGCAAGTCTATGAACTTGCATTCCCAAGTATGCAGATCACAAGTCCAGTCACAGCAGGCTGGATAAAAATAAAATACACAAGCTAAATAATACACATATATGCCCAGTCCTGTTACTTGATTATATATTAAAATAAAATGGAAAAAAGATTGGATATTTTAACAGATTAAATTATAAAGATTGTGGTCAAACTAAATTGTATTGCCAAGGATCAATTGCCAAGTAGCCATAGACAAGAACAATATTACAATATTTTAATGTAAATGGAAAAGAACATTTTTTACCCCCAGTTTTATGTATGTTTTTCGATTAAAACTAAGACATTAAACATGTTAATAGGAAACAACTTACATGACTTAATGATATCTTAGTCAATTTGTTTATGAAAAACTTCAGGGAAAGCAAAACATTTCCTAAATTTATTGACCAAAACACCCACCCCATACATGTAAATAAACTTTATAGTTTTATTTTGAGGCCAAGCCCACCAGGCCGTGGTCCAGGGACTTGGAATTAATTAGCAATTTTCAATGTTAAGTTTTCTGCTTAAGTCAGTTTGATATATAGGAACTATTTGTGATAGATCAATGATTTTTTGTAGTAAGTAGCATTACTTACAGTACATCTCTGTTTGACGACTATTTCGAGACCCTGCCCCCGTAGGTCTTGGTCCTGTGACTTTGAATTAATTAGTAATTTTCAATGTTTAGTTTTCTGCTTAATTTAGTTTGATAGGAACTACTTATGATGGACAATGATATTTCCTATAAGGTTTCATTATTAATGATCTTGCTGTCCATTAGATTGTCTTTTTCTGAATTTTCTGCCGACAGGCAAGACATATCTCATTCTCTGTGTCAACAGTTTATTATGAAAAGTAATTGATTTCATATAAACTATTTTTTAGGTGATATCAGAAGAGTGAGATCTATTTTAGATCTTGATCCTAGTCAGTTAGATGCTTGTTCTCCACACGACGGTGCTACATCTGTTATGTTTGCTGCCATGACTGGACAGTTAGAGATAGCTCAGTTACTGGTGGAACGAGGATGTGATATCAACAAACAAGATACAATTAGTGGTTGGACAGCATTAATGCAGGCCACATATCATGGGTTAGTACTGGGGAACATATTTTATAAAATGACTGCAGTGAGGTAGATAATGAAAATTAGAGTAAAGGAACTATTTTCCAACTTTACAAATTTTCATTGCTCTTCAATTTTCTATTACCTAATACTTCTTAAACGTGTTAGTCATGAATGAAATTTTGGTTGCATTTTCTCAGGAAATACAAATCAGAGCTCCCTGACATTTGGTATCAAGCTTTATGAGTGCATGTTATATAGTGATGCATTTCACTTCAATCACTCATCAACTTACTCTTTACCAAATACTTATATATATTCTTACACATAATGGCAATATTTCAAATTTTCATACCATACAAAACTATGAATCTTAGCTTCCTGAAATATGTTATCTGACAGAATAGATAGCAGTTTCAGACATCATTTGTTTTGTTTATAGTATCTGCATCTGTATAATGAATTAATGTCAGACATAGGCTCTATATTGTTGAAACTTTGACTTTGATTGTTTGTAAGTCTCTTATGTAATAAAGAAATTTTTAATTTAATCTAAGGTATGATATATCCATAATGTGCTATAGTATTTAACAATAAATTATCTATCAACCTAAACTAAGTTTCAAGTAATCTTGAGACAATTTTAAACTTTTAATATAAGAATGAATTGAAAATATAATTATAATGTGTTGTCATTCATAGGAAGAAATCCATAGCAATGTTTTTACTGGACAAGGGAGCTGATGTGCGGATACAGGCCAATAATGGTTGTACAGCTTTTGATATGGCATCATTAATAGGTAAGCAAAACAGCAGAGAATACCAAGCCCTACATATAAACAGATGCTAAAGACATTGAGACATTCATTTTACATTAACGTCTGCAATTCTAAGTCTCTTCCAAGTACAGACAAACCTGTATTAAGCAGTCACTCTTGGGAAGTATCAAAAGTGACTGCTCTAGAGAGGTTCCAAAAAATTATAAACGATATCGCCCGGGATCGAAGCAAATTTTTTTAGTGTTTTCAATCGGTAGAGTTATCGTCCTTGCGAGCACTGAAATTGAAAAAAGGTGGATTCCGGCACTGTAAAAATGTGAAGACAAATTTAAATATGTTAATATTCGTTGAGAAATTAGTCGGTGATACAGTTTTCAATCAAAACTGAAAGGTTGGATCATGAGGAATTCACCTTCTATTGCGTGATCTTGTTTGCAAATGGGTTTCGATTTCAATTTTAACTTTGATATTGACAACATATTTTTTTTGTCGTCCTGAAGAATTTTGGTAGTTAAAAAACATTTAAATGACCGTTGTTAAAAGTTGAAATGGCAATTTCGTTCGAAAATTAGGTGACCGCTGAAACATTGTGAAACGAGTTAAAACATATAGAGAAAACTTTTGGGAGGATCTGAAAGTGACAGAGGCAGGTGACTGCTCAAACGAGGTGACCGTTAAGGCAGTTTTAACTGTAAATATGTTTATAAATGCAGTTGACACTAGATAAAATGTTGTTAAACATCCAGCAGCAAATTACAGAACATTGACAAGTGTTTATATATAATGTTACCTACAGAAACAAATTACATAACATTGACAAGTGTTTATATATAATGTTACCTACAGAAACAAATTACATAACATTGACAAGTGTTTATATATAATGTTACCTACAGAAACAAATTACATAACATTGACAAGTGTTTATATATAATGTTAACTACAGAAACAAATAAGAGTCTATGAAATCAAATGCAACAGTACTGTAAATTCTGAAATTTTTGCTATGTTTTTATTAACGTCAAAATTGTGACAGGACACAAAAACTTCATTTTAAAATTTTTAGCACTATTTGTATGCAAAATTGCCCATCGTTCAACAATTGCTATGTTAAATGTACACAAAAATTTCTGAATTTACTCTAATTGAAATTTGTGAAGGCAGGAATAATCAGATGTTTCTTTTTATTTAATAGATGATGTAGATACAGAACTAGTCAGAAAGTTAGCAAGTAAAACTATAGCTGTTCCTGGTAGTCCAGAGAAAGGCAAGAAAGTGACTGCAAAACAAAATGGTGTTGCTTCATCACTCACAGATATCAGGTAATGCAAACTTACAGAAAACAGAGAATTAGTTGTATGAGGTTGAATAACAGGGAAAAAGTGACTGCAAAACAAAATGGTTTCGCTTCGTCACTCACAGATATCAGGTAAGGCAAACTTACAGAAAACAGAGAATTAGTTGTATGATCTAAAATAACAGCAAAAAAATGTGACTCTTTTCTCTTGTTTCTTATGATATGATGGAGATAAAAATGAGTTTTATTATGAGGGCTATTTTAAAAATAGATGTAGGTAGGATGGGATTTTTTTATTTAACCCGCCTTGCATAAAATTTTACTTGATTATTTCCTTATTATTGTTAAGGCCACCACCCATCAAATTTTAATAAAAATGCCTTCCAACCCCCCATTCAATTAACATGATTAATTCTGGAAAACCCTTACCTACAATAAATGTATCTTGTTTTAATTCAGTAATGTGATAAGAAGTTTAATGTTTTAGTTTTGTAATTCCAAAACCATTACCTTTATGAAAATAAGGAGATGTAGACAACTATCCACCAGAAACCACATGACTTGGATGTAAGCCACTATAGGTCATGGTCTTTTTTAATGTAAAGAATATTGTGTGGATGCTGAATTATAGTGTAAATGTATAAGATGAATATTACTGTTTGCTGATTATAAAAGCAGGAGATAGTTAATATATTTGTATAGTATAGGAACATAAGTATTGTTGTACACCTTCATTTGAATAGTATAGGAACATAAGTAGTGTTGTACACCTTCATTTGAATAGTATAGGAACATAAGTATTGTTGTACACCTTCATTTGAATAGTATAGGAACATAAGTATTGTTGTACACCTTCATTTGAATAGTATAGGAACATAAGTAGTGTTGTACACCTTCATTTGAATAGTATAGGAACATAAGTATTGTTGTACACCTTCATTTGTATGAAATAAAAGTGTTTACCCTGTGACTGCACGAGGAGATGTGACTAGTAAAATTACCTCTTGTTATCTTTTGTTAGACAAAATGATTTGAAAACTTTTATTGATGACCAAGTTATGAATTGAGAGCTATATACCAATGAAATGGATTAAATGATAATGGGACACCAAAAAATAAAATATAAAAGTCTTTCCACCTTTCTCAAATTCACTTTTGATAAGAAGTTTTGGATGTAAAATAACTCTTTGTTAAATACACACTAATGGTGTCAGACTATAGCTTATTTTGCACTGATTCCAAAAATACAGCTATAGTTTATAGTTTGTCATGAAATAAGGAACGTAATTAGTCAAAGGGAAGTTATTAGTTGAGCAAATTTAACGTTACATAGCCTAAAATATGCGATTATTAATATAAAATTTGAAAAGATATGACCTGCCTAACTAATGTGTCTTTATATTTATTTCACAGCATGGAAGAGCCACCAAAGAGTGGACTTAAGGTAAGTTTGAATCAGTTCTATTTGGGTATGCTTTTGACTACATTATTTTTTTCTTCAATGAATAGGGACTTTGTTTGGTTTAATCTCAAACGATAACACATATATCTGTAAAATAAACAATTGCTAGTCTCTCTAAAATTAGTCTTAACCTTATTCTCTGAAGTTTTAATACTTGAATGAAATCCATTTTCATATTTTGTTCAAATGCTGTAATTGAAAATTTAGAAGTTGGAATATGCTAAATTATGTATCATGATTCCAGCCTCTGTTAAGGTAGATGGGGTGCCTTTTTCTTAGCATCTTTTCTGGTCATGTTGTGAAAATACTTTTTTTGTTTAAAAATATTTTACTGAGTATCATTCAACATACAAAACAAACATCTAAAAATTGAAAATTTAAGATTAAACTATCAAAAATTTAAGTGTTGTTGAGTGTATTTTAAAATTTCAGAAAAAATCATGAATTTGATGGATAATTTGAGTTTTTTGATTTTTCAAAAAAATAGGGCCTGTGACACCTTATTTTTATATGATATTTGGGAAGTATTTATGAAAAGCAATTCTCTCATTGAATTTTAACCAATTCTATAGTTTAATGTTTCCACAATAAGGAAAAATTAAGTTTTCCCTTTATTACCCATTTAAAATAACTTTGATTTTGTTAATGACAATGTTTCTCAACATAAAAACAAGGTCTGTGACCCCCCCCCCAGTTTTCATATTAAAATTTGAAATTACATTCACCCAGAAGTCTTTTACCGAAGTTTAAGAAAAATCTATCTTCTAACATTTAGACACCTCAGCTACCTTAATGATGCTTAATGCCATAATTGTTACACTTAAAAATATTCAACATTTGTTACATTTATACATTTTTATATTTTGACATTACCAATTTATAATACATAATAGCATTGTGTAGAAAATATTGTGGTAATAAAAAAACAACAAAAAAAAGATTTTATGAGGAACTACAATACTGCATCATATTCAGTGCAATGGATGGATGGTACAAACAAATTTATACTTAATTCATTGAACATGTTTAAAAATATTTGAACTGTAAATTTAGAAATTAATGAGAGTACTTATAAATGCATTTTTGAACGACCAACCAAAATTTGTGATTAATTATTGTGATTTCAGGAAAAGCTGCATACAGATATATGTACTGTAAATTTAGAAATTATTGCGAGGTTTTTGTTACTGTGCAAAATGCGAATGGGTGAGAACTTGCATTTTGATATCTGATACATATATCTGTATGCAGAATTTCTTGAATTCGCAATAATTAATCTCACATTTTTATTTATTCTTCAATAAATGCAATAATAAATGCACACAATAATTTCTGAATTTACAGTATCAGATATCAGAAAGCAAGTTCTTATTATTGTGATACTCACCTAATCACATTGTTCACATTAAAAAAAATCTCGCAATAATTTCTGAATATACAGTGTTCTTCATTTATGTATTATGTGATCTTTGATAAGTTAATGTCTATTGATGTATTATGTGACCTTTGATAAGTTAATGCCTATTGATGTATTATGTGACCTTTGATAAGGGAATGTCTATTGATGTATTATGTGACCTTTGATAAGTGAATGTCTATTGATGTATTATGTGACCTTTGATAAGTGAATGTCTATTGATGTATTATGTGACCTTTGATAAGTGAATGTCTATTGATGTATTATGTGACCTTTGATAAGTGAATGCCTATTGATGTATTATGTGACCTTTGATAAGTGAATGCCTATTGATGTATTATGTGACCTTTGATAAGTGAATGCCTATTGATGTATTATGTGACCTTTGATAAGTGAATGCCTATTGATGTATTACAGCTTTTAAATGTTCTTTGTGCAGGGCTGGTTAAACAGACTTTCAAACAGATTTCGGAACATAAAGATTGGTAGAACTTTAAATTTGTCTAATCGTGTTGTTGCTATGTCATCAGAGAAATCAACCTCCGTACAGGATCTCACGCTAAAAAGTACAAATAGTCCTAAAGTGGTATGTAATTTATTTATGTGGGCTTTTTGTAAAGTTATAGTAAGCTTTCTTATGTAAAACACAACTACTGAATAAACATTCAAAGAAAGACCAAAACATGACAGTTTGCACCAGAAATGAGATCACATCTAAATAGTATAAGTCAGGTTGGGAAATTTATTCAAGTTGTTCTTGAAGATGAATTTATTTTTTATGTAAAACAAACCATTGCTGATTGATTTTGTGCAAAACTTTTTTATTCATTGCAAAAACGAAACTAGACATAGATTCCTGGCAAATTTGAAATTATTAATATTCAAGTGTCCAAAACATAAAAACGAAGAAGAAGTATTATGAGTACAATCCTGACGCCAAATTGTCAGGCCTAGGGATGCTATGTTTCTATAAAAAATGTTTACATGATTTTTGAATTACTTTGCAGCCTACAAAAAAGCTGAATAACTTCATGGAACATAGTCAGTCATCCCCATCCGTGAACAACTATGGAAATACATATACAGGGATGGCGCTGGAGAATAAACAAAGTGCTACTGTGTATACTCTGGTAAATAAGCTTAATACAGTATAAATCAAATTCAGGAGAGGGAGATATCTCTGTATATGTATAATCTGTTCTATAAAGATTTTTCACCTTAAGCAAGTACTTATTATGTACATAAAGATATTGTGACAGCATGTGTTGTACTTTTGAATAAAAAGATTTGGACTACCAGTTCAGATCGTAATTTAAATTTCAAAAGAAGTTTTAATGAAATGGAAAAGAGAGGATACATGTATGGGTTATAGATACAAGACACAAAATCACTACACCTCACATGAAAAAAAACCAAAAGCAAAGGCTTTCACTAATGTTCTTCATTTCAATATAGTGAGGTCTTCAACTTGGAGCAAAAAATCTCACCTCACTACTAATTCAAGATTGCTCCTAGCACTGGGTTTAGGTGGATTCTTTGTTAAATGTTGACCATGATACATCTGTGCTTTGAAGAATACAGCTGCAGGTAAATATCACAAAAATGAATACTTTTTATGTACAGTTTATCCAGTCTAAGCTTAACCTGTAACGAGAGATATGTCCTTATTGAAGTTATGTATCGTAATCAATTTGTTATCTTATACTCTATCTGTATTAGCTATAGTTTAATGTATACTTTATTTCTGTTTAGGATATAAATCCTCCCAGCTCTAACCTGTCAAATGACACCTTGAAACCAGTCATACCTCCATTTTTACCGCCACCCAGTTTTGCTCTTGATACAGTTGGTTCCACAAGGAAACCAGTTAGTGCTAGAGGTCCTGGTTCATCTAGTTCAGTGGTAAGTCATTTAACAAAATCAGATGTGGACTGAGTTTCAAATCTAAAATACACAGTAAAAATGAATGTTCAAGTTTTTTAATTGTCGATGACATATGTTATTTAATATTTTTACAAATTGTTATTGAAATGTCAATAGCTGCTACCATTGTTTCAATAATGACATATACATTTTCGTTCCAAGCAATAAATGTACCTAAAATAACAGCTTTCTAATAAAAATTGAACTTTTCATAGCTTTTGAAAGTTATAATTTGGCAACCATATTTGTTTTAAAAAAATACTCTAAAGCACTGGTAATAGACATACTTTTATAAGTAATCGATTTGAGTGAATTTAGATTCTTTGCTATTCATACCTCATGATATATATAATTGAAGCTTATTGGAAGCCATACATTGATAATTGAAGCTAAAAAATCTGTTTATCAAATATTAATTATCCATCAGCCAAAGATGGTCAATCAAAAATGTAAAGATTAAATTTGACTAACTAGGTAAACTTTTTAAGGACAAATCAATGAAATTATCTGTTGCAAAAATGTTTTACTCAGTATATGAAAAGATAAACCCGTAGAAAGTAATGATATCTTCAAGTAAAATCTTAAAATTTACCATTATTTAGTATTTTATGACATTTGTATTTATTTAATGGTAGTTGTTTACTCAATAACCAGTCATGTCAGTATAAGCTTTAAAATCTGACTAATTTGAAATTTCAGACATCACTGTTAGGAGGCAGGTCTCACACACATCTTAGTGCTAGTCCAATGATCCATGCCAGGTCTTCGTCAAGGCTTACTAATGGTACCACAAGTAGTTCAGGTAATTTACTTTTTATTAGGAAATTATGCTTACAGTACATACCTCTCAAGGCTACCCCTGTAGCAGAGGAATTTTGTCCAGGTAGAAGTTAATATTTAAGGTTGTGTACTGACGGTCAGGTAATATCTTCATTAATATAAAACAGGCAAACATGGCAGTGAAAATGAACAGAATGGTATGAACTACAAATGGAGTAAGGTCATTGTAATTTGAAGATTACTGACTCTGGATTCATTATTATTTGTGGCATATTAATTTTCATGGATCTAATGGGAATAGCTGAACAACGAATTTAAAAGTACAAACTTTCTATGGGCTTATATGTGAACTATGGCAAAACCATGAAATCAAATATCTACGAATATAAAATATTTCCTCAATCCACAGAAACTGGTACCCACCTAAATAATGAATCCACAGTAAATTATATTGATATAATGATTAATGAGTGGTTATATTCAGAACCATTTTAGATGGTAATAAAAAGGGATATGGAACTTGAAAGTAAAAAAAAAATAGCAAGGTTTTATTCATAATAGTAAGCTACACAACAATTTTACAATGAAGTTGAGGCAGTAATAATAAACAAAATGGAACTAGTTACAGACATATCGTATAAGCCAAAGAGCATTTGTCCTGAGCAGAAAGCACCATCATATTTAAATTTTTATTTCAGCAGTTTCCAAACTACATTTTTATGAGAAAGTTAAATTTATGTATCTGTTGTCTATGTGTACATACATTTATATTGTCATGTATGTAAATATTGTCTTTGTTTTTCAGCTGACTTTCATAATGGTCTGTTTTCATCAGAGTCTTCCAGCACTCCAAACAGACCAACACCAATATTTGTACAACCATACACACCGACCAGACAAAACCTGATGCCAAGGTAGGAAGAACATTCATTAGAAGGGTTCATTACAATTTATCAAATTCTAATTTTTTGACGTCCCACCTAGGGGTATTATGTTTTTCAGTCTGTGCGTCGTTCGTTAATCTCTGCGTTTGTTCGTCCGTCCATCTGTCCCACTTCAGGTTTAAGTTTTTGATCAAGGTAGTTTTTGATGAAGTTGAAGTCCAATCAATTTTTTTATTATCTTAATGTATAATTTAAAAAAAAAAAAAAATAATTGGTATTTTTATCATTTCAGAAAACCACCTATATCCGCTGTGTTCACATCTAATACTACATCCCCAAACAGTTCAACAAGTGGTAGTTCTTCTGTCACACCAATCAGATCCCATGGTCGTAGTACATCCTCTAAAGAGAGTACAACATCGACACTAACTCCCTCACCATCACCCACACCAGGAAAGGTAAGAAATCTATCCCTACTATCAAAGAGAGGCTGACACTAACACCCTCACTATCACCCACACCAGGAAAGGTAAGAAATCTATCACTACTATCAAAGAGAGGCTGACACTAATACCCTCACCATCACCCACACCAGGAAAGGTAAGAAATCTATCACTACTATCAAAGAGAGGCTGACACTAACACCCTCACTATCACCCACACCAGGAAAGGTAAGAAATCTATCACTACTATCAAAGAGAGGCTGACACTAATACCCTCACCATCACCCACACCAGGAAAGGTAAGAAATCTATCACTACTATCAAAGAGAGGCTGACTCTAACACCCTCACCACTATCACCCTCACCATCACCCACACCAGGAAAGGTAAGAAATCTATCACTACTATCAAAGTGAGGCTGACACTAATACCCTCACCATCACCCACACCAGGAAAGGTAAGAAATCTATCACTACTATCAAAGAGAGGCTGACACTAATACCCTCACTATCACCCACACCAGGAAAGGTAAGAAATCTATCACTACTATCAAAGAGAGGCTGACACTAATACCCTCACCATCACCCACACCAGGAAAGGTAAGAAATCTATCACTACTGTCAAAGAGAGGCTGACACTAATACCCTCACCATCACCCACACCAGGAAAGGTAAGAAATCTATCACTACTATCAAAGAGAGGCTGACACTAACACCCTCACCATCACCCACACCAGGAAAGGTAAGAAATCTATCACTACTATCAAAGAGAGGCTGACACTAACACCCTCACCATCACCCACACCAGGAAAGGTAAGAAATCTATCACTACTATCAAAGAGAGGCTGACTCTAATACCCTCACCATCACAAACACCAGGAAAGGTTAGAAATCTATCACTACTATCAAAGAGAGGCTGACTCTAATACCCTCACCATCACAAACACCAGGAAAGGTAAGAAATCTATCACTACTATCAAAGAGAGGCTGACACTAACACCCTCACCATCACCCACACGAGGAAAGGTAAGAAATCTATCACTACTATCAAAGAGAGGCTGACACTAATACCCTCACCATCACCCACACCAGGAAAGGTAAGAAATCTATCACTACTATCAAAGAGAGGCTGACACTAATACCCTCACCATCACCCACACCAGGAAAGGTAAGAAATCTATCACTACTATCAAAGAGAGGCTGACTCTAATACCCTCACCATCACAAACACCAGGAAAGGTTAGAAATCTATCACTACTATCAAAGAGAGGCTGACTCTAATACCCTCACCATCACAAACACCAGGAAAGGTAAGAAATCTATCACTACTATCAAAGAGAGGCTGACACTAACACCCTCACCATCACCCACACGAGGAAAGGTAAGAAATCTATCACTACTATCAAAGAGAGGCTGACACTAACACCCTCACCATCACCCACACCAGGAAAGGTAAGAAATCTATCACTACTATCAAAGAGAGGCTGACACTAACACCCTCACCATCACCCACACCAGGAAAGGTAAGAAATCTATCACTACTATCAAAGAGAGGCTGACACTAATACCCTCACCATCAAATAACATTTTCATAGTACATATAGAGGATGACACCCAAATTAACTACCATACCATAACCTACCCTTGGAAAGTTAAAACCTAGCTATATAGGTCACATGGTACATGTTTAAGAAAAGAATATCTATATGGACAATCAGTTGTCCTTGAATTGTGAATTTTAAGGTGACATGTGAAAATCTACTCTGTCTGGAATTATATTTATGAAATGGCAACCAACTTTTAATGGATGTTTTAAAAGTTATTCTCTTATGGTTGTGGCCTGTTATCTATTTCTTGCATGAATAGATATTTCTTGTATTACACTGCACGGTGTGTGAAACAAAAAAATGATACAAAAACGGGTTTAATTTGGTTGGTTTATCCAGCATCATGAGACAATTTTACGACATTCCCATTGGCTATTCATTAGGTTATGGAGGACTTCCAAAGGTTAAGAAAATGTATATTTTGTCCATGGCCACAGACATATGTGATTTCTTCAATAATATACAAAACACTCACAGTTTCACCTGACAGTCTTCATTTTTTTTCAAATTTTATTACATTCTAAAGCGTTCAAAAAGTTTTAAAATGTCTGATTTGATGCCGGAACATGACATATGACATCATACTGGTAAATGCAAAAGACTAGATCAATGATTTGCAGAATTTTTTTAATTTAACACAATGAGAGTGATAGCATAAGAGAAATAGGTTTAACAACTAGTGAGAATTGGATATCACTTGATATCATCTCTTATTATTTAATTTCAATATAATAATAAACTAGCCTTCAGCAAGTTTATTATTATATTGAAATTAAATAACGAGAGTTGATATCAACCGATATCAAATTCTCACATGTATGAAACCTATAAATAACATTTGCTTCAGTCAAAAATATATATGAAAAGACAGATATTGAAACGTTACTATTCTAACGAACTTATTTTATACATTTACAGTATCCAGATGACCACCACCCATTATTAGGTTCATTAGAAGAACATGATTCACAAGCTGGTAAGTATTTCTTTAACAAAACATCCAAAGCGTAGAGCAAAAACATCTAGACTATTGTCAGTAATCCTAAATGGTTTGGTGTTGATATCAGACGCTATATTTTTTTAAGCATTAAAATCCAGTCAAAAATTTAAAAAAATGATACTGAGAAGAAGTTAGAATATTATTTTTATTGCATTATTGCAAGTTAAGTAACTTCACATTGTTTGGCAGTTATTTCTTATTTTAAAATATTGCCATAATTTGGGCCCCGCCTATTGGCGGGTCGCCCTACAGCGATCAGTCTGTCCGTCCGTCCGTAACAAATTGTGTCCGCTCTATATCTAGAGAACTGTTATATTTTCATACTTTATACTTGGCATGTATATAAACCAACACCAGAGGGTGTGTCATAATGTTTGTACAACTTCCTAGGTCAAAGTTCAAGGTCAGCGGGGCCCACAGAGATGGCTCCCATCTCAATGATGTCTAGTTAGGATTAATTTGCTTTATTAATGAATAAAAGAAGATGCCCGGTATATTTCAATGAGACAGCAACACAGTAACAAAAAATATGAAGGTTAACATAGAGTTCAGCAATAAACAGGTGTCTATACTTTATGCATGGTTTTATCCTTTCATATGCTTTATTGAATTTATTTTGTAGAGTTGTCAGGAATTCTATCGAAACTGTCATTAGAAAAATACCAGCCAATATTTGAAGAACAAGAGGTATTTAAAATTTTCAAGATTAAAAACTTTATATAAATATTAGAAAGATTACACCAAGGTAGGGAAAAAATGTATCTAAGACCCTTTAACACATGTTTAACGCCTGTTCTTATATGATATTGGTTTTAATTCATTAATTAAGTTGGTCATGACAAAATCATTTTAAACTTGGGAATGCTGAAAAGTACCATTTATCAAGCTAGACTTGAAGTATATTATATCACATTGTTTTTACCCTTATATCATTTAAATATGCCAGATTATTGTTTTCTATTTTATATAAAAGCTTGGGCACATATTTTTTCTCTCAATTTTATCATTGATATTTTTTTTTAGGTTGATATGGAAGCATTTCTTACATTAACTGATCAAGATCTAAAAGAATTAGGCATATCAAATACACAGTCACGATCACAGATCCTTACAGCAATCAATAAACTCAGCACTGGAAAGGTTTGTCAAAAAATTTAATGTCCATAGATTTCAAGCTTAAACTTTAAATTTAAGCTTGCATATATTTTGTTTGAAACATTTTTTTTATTATACCCCCGCTTTAAAAAAGTGGGGGTATACTGTTTTACCTCTGTCAGTCCGTCTCTCCGTCCATCCATCCGTCAGTCAATGAATATTTTTCGTCACATTTTTCTCAGGAACTACATCACAAGGATTTCTGATATTTGGTTTCAGGGTTTATATGAGTCAGCCATACAGTGTGATGTGTTTTCAGATTCATCACTCAACAACTTCCTCTTTACCGAACACTTGCATCATTTTACACATGACATCCAAGTAGTTGAAAATTTTCGTCCCATTTATCTCAGGAACTACATTACAAGGGTTTCTGAAGTTTGGTTTCAGGGTTTATATGAGTCAGCTATACCGTGTGATGCGTTTTCAGATTCATTATTCAACAACTTCTTGTTTACCGAAATATTTGGGCGGGGGTATCATCAGTGAGCAGTAGAACACAGTTTCACTTGTTATTTTTAAATAAGGTCAATTTTGATGAATTTATATATGCATGGAGCAGGTCTTAATACATTTTTATGCCTTATGCTATTACTATTGTTTACTTTTATCTCTCAGAAAAATAAAAGAACTATACCATTTTAGGAAATGTGGACATGAAATTATAAAGATAAAATTCATGTTTAAGTCGGTTTATATACGAGCGCAAAAAAATTTTTGTGGTCGTATATTGGTATGACGTTAGCATCGTCGTCGGCGTTGTCGTCGTCGTCGTCCAAAGACGCATTAGTTTTCGCACTCTAACTTTAGTTTAAGTGAATGGATCTCTATGAAATTTTACCATAAGGTTCAATACCACAAAAGGAAGGTGGGGATTGATTTTCGGGGTTATGGTTCCAACAGTTAAGGAATTAGGGGCCAAAAAGGGGCCAAAAATAAGCATTTTCTAGTTTCCAGACAATAACTGTGGAACGGTGTATGGATCTCTCTGAAATTATACTACAAGTTTCCATACCACAAAGGGATGGTTAGGATTTGCTTTGGGGGGTTATGGCTCAAACCGTTTAAGAATTAGGGGCAATAAAGGGGGAAAAACAAGGTTGTCCTGGTTAATGGACAAATACTTTAGTACAAAACATAATTTAAAGCAGTGTAAGGGAGATAAATCAAATACATCATTGAAATTATCTCCCTTACACTGCTTTTAAATTATGTATAAAGTAATGGTTAATGAACAATTAAGATAATTTAAAACAGTGTAAGGGAGGTAATCCAAATACAACGTTTTGGTTACTTCCCTTACACTGCTTTTAAATTATGTTTAAAGAAATGCATATTTATAAAGGAAGACCAGTAAAAATATCTGTAAATGTTGCATCTTTTTTTTTACAACAAAATCCATATGAAAGATTTGACACTATATTTTAAATTCTATTATAAAATAGATTAAGTTAGCACTATGGTAAATTTAAATGGGTAATTATGGTTGCAAACTCCATTGGAAATTTGAATTGAGATTATGACCATATCTTGAGGGAAAGAATTTTTTGGGGGAAAAAAGGGGGGGGGGGGGGGGTTAAAGAAATTGTGGGGGTCAATTTTTTCTCATTTCAGATTTCAGAAATTAAGAAGAATTATTCTTCAAATATTATTTTTTTTTCAAATTTCAAATATTGAAAAATTTCAAGAAGTAATCTTTAATTGGACAGTACGGCGCATTAGATTTGTAAAATCTTTGACCACATTTATTTACTTGTTATGCCGAATCTAACGGTGTATTTAGATTTTTAATTTTGGGTCCAGTTTTCAAATTGGTCTACATTAAGGTCCAAAGGGTCCAAAATTAAACTTTGTTTGATTTTAACAAAAATTGAATATATGGGGTTCTTTGATATGCTGAATCTAAACATGTATTTAGATTTTTTATTTTTGGCCCAGTTTTCAAGTTGGTCCAAATTGGGGTCCAAAATTAAACTTTGTTTGATTTCAACAAAACTTTAATATATGGGGTTCTTTGATATGCTGAATCTAACCATGTATTTAGATTTTTTATTTGTGGACCCCGCTATCAAATTGGTTCATATTGAGGTCAAAAGGGTCCAAAATTAAACTTTGTTTGATTTCAACAAAAATTGAATATATGGGGTTCTTTGATATGCTGAATCTAACCATGTATTTAGATTTTTGATTTTTGGGCCCCGTTATCAACTTTGTCCACATTGAGGCCAAAAGGGTCCAAAATTAAACTTAGTTTGATTTTAACAAAAATTGAATTCTTGGGGTTCTTTGATATGCTGAATCTAAACATGTGTTTAGATTTTTGATAATGGGCCCAGTTTTCAAGTTGGTCCAAGTTGGGGTCCAAAATTAAACTTTGTTTGATTTCAACAAAAATTCAATATTATGGGGTTCTTTGATATGCTGAATCTAAACATGTATTTAGATTTTAGATTTTTGGCCCAGTTTTCAAGTTGGTCCAAATTGGGGTCCAAAATTAAACTTTGTTTGATTTCAACAAAAATTGAATATATGGGGTTCTTTGATATGCTGAATCTCACCATGTATTTAGATTTTTTATTTGTGGGCCCGCTATCAAATTGGTTCATATTGAGGTCAAAAGGGTCCAAAATTATACTTTGTTTGATTTCATCAGAAATTGAATTCTTGGGGTTCTTTGATATGCCAAATCTAACCGTGTTTTTAGATTTTTAATTTTAGGTCCCATTTTTAAATTGGTCTACATTAAGGTCCAAAGGGTCCAAAATTAAACTTAGTTTGATTTTAACAAAAATTGAATTCTTGGGGTACTTTGATATGCTGAATCTAAACATGTGTTTAGATTTTTGATTATGGGACCAGTTTTCAAGTTTGTCCAAGTTGGGGTCCAAAATTAAACTTTGTTTGATTTCAACAAAAATTGAATATATGGGGTTCTTTGATATGCTGAATCTAACCATGTATTTTGATTTTGGACATTGGACCATAATAGGTAAATTAAAAAAATTGAAGTTCTTAGACCACATTCTTTCTGTGTCAGAAACCTATGCTGTGTCAAATATTTAATCACAATCCAAATTCAGAGCTGTATCAAGCTTGAATGTTGTGTCCATACTTGCCCCAACTGTTCAGGGTTCGACCTCTGCGGTCGTATCAAGCTGCGCCCAGCGAAGCATTTTATTAATATTTGAAAGTCATACATGAAAACAGTGGTATGAATAGATTTATATATCATTTATTGTCTAAAAGTTTCTTCATAAGTCTTTAAAGTGGAAAGAGAATTAGATTTATAAAAGGCAACAATATGAAAACTCCGGATAAAAAGTTTCACTAAATTTGAAATTTTGCATTGTCAGATAACCAGCAGTATAAATATTTAAATAAAACCTTATTTATTGATAATAAAATATGTTTCTGCCAGATAATTCAACATTCTTATATATTTTTTTTCCAATTATAGGGAAAAGAACGTCAGCAGTTGATAGATACTATGACCTCTTTCCAGACAACCCTCAAAGCCAAGGTGGCTTCAGAGCCTTCTAACCTTAATGGGTAAAATATTATTTTTACTTCTATCACAAATAAGGAATTTAAAAGTTTGTGTCTCTTCAATGGGAAATTTCATACAAAACTTTACTTTCTCTTATGATTGATTAACAGTAGCTTCAAAACTGTATGCTAGAAAAATTGTTGAAGATCTAAATGATTGCTATGTTCTATCAGGAGGTCTTCTAATAATTTTATAATGATCTAAATTAAATATTTGGAATTTTAAAGGACAAGTTATTCCAATTATACCCCCGTAAACAAAGTTTTTAGAGCTTGTAGGAATCACCCTGTCTGTCCATGTGCCTTTTAAGTGCAACTCCAAACAGGCTGGATGGATATTGATGAAAGAACGGCCAGTTTTAGAACACTACCTGAGGGTGTGCATGAAGGCATATATTTTCTCTGTCCTAGTTGCTAAAGGGGAGATAATCTTCAATATTGCAATATTTGTTTTAGTCTCACCTAAGTGCAAATCCTCTTTAACAGCTATATGGATATAGAAAAAAAAATACACATGGTAGAACACTACCTGATGATGTGCATGAAGGAAATGTTATCTCCATCCTAGGTGTTAAAGGGGAGATAATTCATGTATTATCAACCTATTCCTTTACAAACATTTGAAAAAGCACCATAACAGTGTAGGTAAAATGTCCATTAAGTACATAATGACACTTTAAATGATGCAAGTCGCTTGTAAATCAATCATTTGTTTATCAGAATTTTTCTGGTAATGTCAAAACCAAAGTTAACACTTTTCTATAATGTTGAAAATATGGGCACACTAGAATGGTAATGCCAACAAGTTATGTGAGGGGAAATGACCAAGTTGTTAGGTAGTAAATCTTTGTATTTCTCAAATTCCATAAATTCAACAGAAACAAAAATTGCAAGTAAGACTAATTTTGTCAGATTTATTGTGTTAATTTTTTTCAATAAGAATATGCCTCTTAATAGACAATAAGACTCTGTTATATATTTGTTTTATAGAATGATGTGGCTGCAGTCCCATTCAAGGAGATTGGACTACTCCTGACAGAAAGATAAGACAAAATTCAAGTACAAATGTCATGTGACCATACACAGATCAGATCATGGATTTAGATATACCAATAACCATACTTGACACAAACTGAAAATATGGCCGTTGAAGAGGTGATACTAGAAAACAGCCAATGACAGAGTTTTGCTTAATGCTAAAATTATCTGTATTCTGAATTGTGATCGTGAAAGCTGTTTGTTTGTTTGTTTCTGATCATACTAGTTGTATTTTTATGTGAAGTTGTGATTTTTATGATTAAGGTTGTGAAGAAAATGTCACTGCTATTTGCTATATATATATATGGTGCCAAAGTTATGTTTGAGACATTCCCTGTGATTATATAAATACGTAATCACAGGACTAGACACTTTTATTGTGTTCTTGATGTATTTATAGATAATGAGTATTGAACATTATGAAAATGACATTGTTGTGTTATTGTTGTTAGAGATTAAAATTTTAAGTATACGCTGACAAAATAGGAAATTTTAAAATAGTTATTTCATTATTTTAAGCAGTTTTTGACTTAAAATTAAGTTGAATATAAACTATTTATAGATTTGCTGGTGTGAAAAGGAGGCTTTATTCTACCTATTTGTGTCAAATGAACTGCAGACTTGATAAATGATTTAAAGGGGCATATACAAATGAATATTTTATTATTCATCAGTAAATGGTATCTGCTACTGAATACAATTAGATTTTACAACATTCTGATTTATTATAAGACTGCAGAAAACCAGGCTCTATTAATTACTACCTTTTTTAAAAAAATGAATCCAAATGAGATATGATTAAACCTTGATTGCAATTAATAGGGTGGTAATCTTTAAACAATGTAACAGTTTATAATAAGAAGGTTTTTATTTTCACTTTCGAAGTAACAAATTTATTAATGAAAATAAAACCTGGAGAGATTGGAATTAATGTTACTGTACTTTATATTATTTGTCAGTTTTCCTACCGAAGGTTGTGGTTCTCTCCCGGCACTCCGGTTCTTCCACCAACAAAAACTGGCCGCCACAAAATAGCACAATAGTGTTGAAAGTGGTGTTAAACACCAATCAATCAATTATATTATTTGTAAAATAAAAATGGTAAGATAACAATTTGAATAAAACTTTTACATCAATACAGCTTGTATTCAAATGAAATAAAATAAGATAATTGTTTAACTTTTTGTTTATTTTATTTGTTGGAATCTGTCAAATCTTGTTTTCTGCAATTTTTTTCTAACTAAAATAATGTAATGGCCTGGATATTTCAGAATAAATTAAGTCTCCATAGATCAAAGGTTCTTCACTTGGGTTTCTCATTTTTATACAGCTTGTATTTAATTTAATTTATTGATTCAATAAACTTATTTCCTAAAACATTTTTGTATAAAAAATTAGCATATAACAAAAAATAACCAGCAGAAAGACAGAAACTGAAGCAGAAAAAATATCGTGCTGGTTTTATAAAATATTGAACAAAATATTGATTTCATGTGACTTTAATCTTTGACATGTTGATCATGTGATCAAGGTGCTAAGATCAACCAATAGGAATCTCAGAAATATAGAGAATTATATCTATGCACATGTATCATGACAACTCTAGTCCATAAGATCATGAGAAGGTTATATGATAAATTTGTTAATGCATTGTGATATTTTTGTTTTATTATTGTATTTTATTGAACTGCTGGTTTTTAAATATTTTAGATATAATTATTTCAGTATTTTTCCTTTCCAAAAGGACTTTCTATTTTGGAAAACTTTAAGACATTGAGAGTTAATATTAAAGTTTATACAATGTATGATCCATTGAACCAATGGAAGGCATTCTAAAAATGGGGGTGTCGATCCAAGTAAGCAATTTCAACATTTTTTGTTTGTAATTTCTTGCTCTATAGTTTTAGGCACATGCTCATAGTTGTAATTTCTTATTGCTATACTTGGATGTCATATATTTAATATAAGCAATGCTGAAATGTTTATATTAAGGAGAGCTAAGGTTTGGTTTAAGGTAGATTACCATGAAAGTATGGTCACTTCAACTTGAAACTTAGTACACATATTCATTATGATATGATGTGATGTGAAATTTTAAACAAAATATGCTAAATTAGGTTACTGACCCAGATTTTGCAGTTAACTTCATATGAAAATGTAAAAGTATGAATGGAGGAATGTGTCCTGTAGACACATAATCTTTTTTCTATGAAACATAATCATCATTCCTGTTAAAACAGCAACTACACATTATGTGACTGTAAGGAAATTATATCTGCATTGCTTTCTATCCAGTGCACTTTTAATGTATACCTTTGTATCAACATGAGTTTTAATCAGAATAAAGCAAATATAATGTTTGGTCATTAAAAAACCTAGATTTATAGAGAAGTTGTGATTTTGCGCTCCGTCCTAAGTTTTGGAATTTTTTATTTCTATCCAGATTGTTGCCGTCCATGCTTTTGCTTCTGTTTTATGGTCAAAAGCGTTATTTTCCTTGAGCTTCCAGTAAATTTTATAATATTCATTATACTGGATTTTTTGGGTTGTTTTAAGTATTATTACACTCTAAATGTTCATTCTATTTGCATCTTTATCATGTTTATAATAAATTTGAGTAGACAAATGTCCTGTTTAAATTTACACAGAACTCCATAAATGTCCCTATACTCCGACTGTTAGAACTTATAATAAGTAGCAACAAATTATAGCCAAAACATTGTATAATGCATTTGGAAAAGAGGAGGGTTTATTAATTCTATAGATTATTTACCTTGTAATAGTCAACTAAGACAACACTTAAATGTTTGTTGTGTTGATAATTAAAAGTATGATAGGTTTAATGTTAAAAGTATGATAGGTTTAATGTTAAAAGTATGATATGTTTAATGTTAAAAGTATGATATGTTTAATGTTAAAAGCAGTATTGTGCAGAATTCTCAAATTTCCTTTTCATTGCCAGACATATTTTGTATTTGAAAATTTCTAAATTTTGAAAATTTATTTAATGAATAGGAATTTTTTATGTTCTTCACTTGTAATTTACGTAGCTGTAATCATGAGCAAATTATTCGCTATATATATATTTCTGTATTATTATTATAAGACAGCATTTCAAAGTAATTTTTTGTGAATTTTCAATTATCTTAAATTCTTTTCTTGAGAAAGCTGCTTTAAAGAATTATGATAAAAGTTCTATTGTGAAGAGAACAATTACAATATTTTTTTGATGTGTATACTGTTCTTCCAATTCCTAAAGAGATTACAAAATTAATCCCTAGTAATTTTCATTTCTTATGTATTTTTCTGCATAAAAAGATAGCTGTATTTTTTATCATTACATTTGTTGACTGAAATACTTTCATTCTGATGTCTGACCTAAGGAATCTCTTCCTTTTAAACAGAGTGTAACTCCCATGTAGTGTTTTTATTGATTTTCATTTAGTGCCATATGATTTTAATTGTCTTCTCTCCAATTTTATTTATTTTAAAATCTGCTTTACCTTCCAAAAGAGATCAGTATTTGATTTATAAAGATGATGCTAACACAAATCACACATCCCTGACACTAATCTTTAGAATGAAGTTCTTATTGTGATTTTAAATTCATTTTTTTCTTTTTTAACGACCCGAATGAAGTAAATAGGAGAGGATACATGAATATTAATGCATTCTTAAATAATGTCCCATTTATAATATTTTGTATTATGTTATGAAATCCAGTATTTGGGCTGTCCAAGAAATGTCCAATTAAAATTTTAATTGATATAATATTATTTACATGCTGTCAGTTATTGTAAAGATTGTTGTACAATTGTTGCAGATGCCATGTCTTATTTCTGTTCTTATTTCCTCTCAATCTATTTATATGCATGGCTTTTTCAAATGTTATAGCTGTATTGGATTGTAATAATTTAAACATAAGTAATGCATTGTTTTATTTGATTGTAATGAATACTGTTTTCACAGTCCAAGAGAAACCAATGATTATATGTTTAATACAAGCATCATGTATTTTCACTCCTTTGGATTCATACAAAAATAGTTGTTGTCAAAACATCAACTGAATTGTATATTTATTAAGGTTAATAGTCAATGTAATTAAGAGAAAAATAAGATTTTGAATGCTGAAAAATAATTGACTTGTGAAATTTGGAATATTGGGTTCGCAATTCTCTTCAACTTTGTACTTAACTGAGCCTTTTTAACTTTTTTGATTCAAGTGTCACTGATGAGTCTTTTGTAGAAGAAACACATCTGACGCACAAAATTTTAATCCTGGTATTTATGATGAGTTTATCCCAATCAAGGATTTGTATAGTATACAAATCCTTGTCCCAATGTTGCCCCCCAGAGATAACTTTGTCCACAGTAATAAGTCATATAAACTTTTAGCACCAGTATTGTGGAAATAATTATTAAACAGGAATAATTTTATAACAAATAGGTTTTTTTCTGGTCTGACTAAATAATTGATTATTTGTAACAGGTTCACAATTTGTATTTATACATTTCTAGATCTGACCAAAGTCATAATTGATTATTTGTAACAAAGCTCACACATTCTGCTTGTAAATTTCTTGCAATGATAAATTGATACATCAATAGAATTAGAAAATATTCCTGTTAGTTATATGTTTGTGTTTTGGGAAGTAGTAAATATTATATGTTTTCCACTGAGAAGGCAATAATAATTAATGTCTTTAATCTGCAGTATTTATGATTTATTTTATATCATTAACAGCTTTTGATATGTCTTGTAAAGCAGGGTATTGATAACATATACATGTATTTTAGAATTGTGATAATCAAAATATATATATATTATGTTTCGTATTTGTGACATGTTGCATATTTTATGTGTTTATTACACAGCCTGAAAAAATATTATTCTAAAAATATCTGGAAACAGTGTATTTCACATGGTGTCCTCTGATAGCATATGCTTTATAAATATTTTATAGCTTTTCAATGCCTTCAATTGTTCCTATAACTATACCTTCTCAAAAATTAACTTCATTTTTACCCTACTTAATTTCAAATATTTTTGTTGCAATAAAATTTTGAAATAGGATTTCACAGGAAAATATAAATAATATAAAATTTTCGGACAACCAGTCAAAAGTTAACATTACTGCAGGATCTATGTAGTGTACTTCAGAAACACTTATTTAGCTCAAAACTTATAATTTGACTTAACCTTTGTCATGGGAAGTTGAATGGTGGACTGTGATAAAGAAAAGTTGTGAGGTGACACTTTAGAAACTTTAAATAGCATTATAAACCATTCTTAGCAGGTCAAGAAAATATTAATCAACACAGTCTTTTACTAGTATTTCATCTATGAGTTAATTGTGGTCCTCCGTAAAAACACTTTATTTTAAATCTATTTCAATGTTTGAATGTTGTGTAATTGATGAGTATGTTTTGAGATGTTATTGATGTCAGAATGTTTGTTATAAATGAGGAATTCATCATTGTTTATGAATAAATATTTACATTTCTCCTATTCTTTATTTCAACAGGTTCTGACCTGTTGAATATGTTTTTGATAAACCACATGATTAAATTGTCACATGTGATTTCCTGCCAAATCTATGTGGAAATTATACTAGGAGTATTTATTTCAACATAAAGGAAGTGAATTCTACCTATTTACTCATTTAAATATTATACTAGACCACTTCTATAGTAAAATTTGATTTTTGAGAATTTTAACTGACTCATATGGATAAATATCATAATCAGCAGGATATTTTGGTTGAACTAGGGTTAAGTTAATACCAGTTCAGGTATGGGTAATTCAATGACTTAAAACACTAATTACATTTTACCTAACACTATGTGTACTTGAAATTCAGAAATTAATGCATGCATTTATTATTGCAAATTTTGAAAAATGAACAAAAATGCAAGTTTAATTATTGCGATTTTAGGAAAAGCTACATACAGATATATGTATTTACTATAAGAATGCAAGTTCTTATTATTGCAATACTCAAGAAGTTGCATTATTCGCATTAATAAAAACCTCGTAATAATTTCTGAATTTACAGTATTTTTATTGCTGGTAATAGTAACAAGTTACAGACTATAATGAGAACAGAAATCTAATAATTACTGTTATAATTTGCCCAACAAACTCTAGTGTAACATACAGGAAAAAGAATCAAACATTTAAACAATAAATAGGCATATGAAGATATTTTTATGCCCCCGCCGTAGCAGAGGGGGCATTAAGTTTTACCCTTGTCCGTCTGTCCGTCCCTTCCTACGTCCCAAAATTGGTTTCCGTTCTCTAACTTTAGTTTGCCTCAACCAAGTCTAATGAAACTTATACATAATGCTTATTAACACAAAAATCAGGTCAAGTTTGAATTTGGGTGGCGTCATTGTTACTGTTCTAGAGTTATGCCCCTTTACAAATGGAAAAATTGCTTAATTTTTTGTTTCCGTTCTCTAACTTTAGTTTGCCTAAACCAAATGTTTTGAAACTTATACACATTGCTTATTACCGCAAAACACAGATCAAGTTTGAATTTTGGTGGCGCCACTTTAACCGTTCTAGAGTTATGCCCCTTTACAAAGGGAAAAATTGCTGAATTTTTCGTTTCGGTTCTCTAACTTTAGTTTGCCTCCACCAAATGTTTTGAAACTTATACACAATACTTATTACCACAAAACACCGATCAAGTTTGAATTTTGGTAGCTTCACTTTTACCGTTCTAGAGTTATGCCCCTTTATAAATGGAAAAATTGCTGAATTTTTTGTTTCCTTTCTCAAACTTCAGTTTGCCACAACCAAATGTTATGAAACTTATACACAATACTTATTACCACAAAACTCAGATCAAGTACAAATTTGGGTAGCGTCACTTTTACAGTTCTTGAGTTATGTCCCTTTATAACGTTATATGCAAGCGGGGGCATTATCATGGACACATTCCCCATTTATTTAAGATTATTTGGCTGGAAATAATGAATGAATAGGACAAAAAAGTTCTAAAAAATATATAAACTAAAGAAAAAAAGTGGAGTAGTACACATGAGACAAGTTATTTGAAGAGTGAATACCCCAATCTATTTAAAATATTTGAGCATACTCCATCAGCACAAGAAACATTTCTACTACCTACACACATGATAATAAACATTTACAATGCAATGAAAAAAGGAAGTTGTTAATCTTTGAGATATTTGTACCTCCACTGGAACAGTAGTGCTGTTCGATTGGTATAATTTTTATTTTCTAGATTGCTCGATCTTCAGTAGTAGCTGTTTGTTTGTTCGTTCATAAGAGTAACCACTAGTCAGCTTGGTGTCCGAATAATGTCTCTAGGTAGGGTGGCATGTCTTCCTGCGAACTGTTACCTTGTGAACTAGCATGTTCAAAAATTGGCTCAGTGAGGCAGTCTAGTACAAAGCCGGGTTCATATTCATATCGCATTAACAACTTCTTGTTCTGGAAATGCTTTAAATTTTTACTGCTTGATGTTAAACAGCAGTTGCTCATTATTAACATCATCCAATATAAATAAAGGCTTTTGGACGAAAATGTTTTCATTTTCCTCTTTTAAGCTTACTTGGCCCAAAGGGCTATGTGATCAATTGCCATCCCATCATGCACATGGCAACTGTTAATCATAATCTGGTGTCCTTTCATTATCGTAAACTTTATAAAAATTTACTTTCTGAAACTATTGAGCCAAATGTTACCAAAGTTTATATATCTCTGTTTATAGTTATTGCATATTGACAAAATTGTGTCAGCAAAGATCTACCAAAGTCAACGACATCATTGATGACCCCTTGTAGGAGTTATTGCCCTTGAAATACAATATTTAGCTCACCTTGCCTTACAGGCCATGCCAGGCGATCTGTTGCCATTACTTGGCAAAAGTCATCATTGGTCGTTGCCCATCTTCATAATTTTTTTAAAAATCTACACTTAAACTACAAGACCATTAATTTCTTATATTTTGAAAATTACAATACAAAAAATCGGACAGGGGCAAAGATCAGCAATACAAGATTTACAAAAAAAATGACAATATGACCGAAAACATTGAATGACTCTTTAAGGAGTTATTGCCCGTTATTGACGTTTTTTAAACAAATTTTAGTCTTTTAACCTGTTATTTACAACAAAAAAACTATTATAGATAGGTATAAACTACAGAAATAGATGATCTACAAAAATGCCAATACAGTCGAAACAATGGGATGACCTTTAAGGAGTTATAGCCTTAAACAATTGTTGACTAATTTTCGTGTCCGTTGTACACTTATTCAAAGATCCTCTCCTCTGAAACTACCTAACCAATTTCAACAAAACTTGGAGTGATCGATCCTTAGGGTATCTAATGTAAATTTTGTGGTTTTTAGCAAGACTAGAACTATTGTTTCAATTCTTTCCTTATGCACCGGCTTCCCAAACAGGAAGTAACCAGATAAGCTACTACATCTATGCACACTGAAATATAGTTTCCTACAAATGCTCATGCCCGTAAACATATGCACATATAAACTGTGCAAAATTTGGATGATATCCTTAATGCAGTTCATTCAAGTATGTGTGTCATTATCTTTGTCAATTTGCTATCTCGGTTTGACATTTTTAATAGGCAAAAGTAGTAATACAATACCAGTATGATTGACAACTGCCATTATCAACGAACAACCAAAAGACTAGACAGAGCCTTAATTGGATTGTCACTCCTTTTCAAATGCCAATCATATTGACTAAATTAATAATTAACTTCGGTCTTACATAATTAAGCAGATATTTTACTACCCAGAAACACAACTCAATACACAATTCTTGACCTCATTAAAGAATAGAAAAACATATACTATTTGGTGTTTGAATTATATAGACATGATACATTGAATAATTTACCTATTACTTTTAGTTTACAATACATCAAATAATTTGGTAAGTTATGTTTGAAAGATAAAAGATAGAGGATTATAAAGATATATTTTGTTCAAAAGAAAAGACAAAATATAAAATCTGTATATATAAAGGTATTTAAATGGGGTCTATACTTTACTTAATAAATCAATGTAATAGTCATCTGTAATTATTCAAGCAATGATATTACAACAACTTTGAATTAACTAGCAATTTTCAATGTAAGTTTTCTGCTTAAGTTATTTTGATAGGAACTGCTTGTGATATATCATTGATATCTAATATGAAGTTGCATTACTATCAATACATATTAGTTTGATAGGAACTACTTGTGATATATCATTGATATCTAATATGAAGTTGCATTACTATCAATACATATCAGTTTGACGACTATTTTGAGGCCCTGCCCCCTAAGTAATGGTCCAGTGACTTTGAATTAATAAGTAATTTTTAATGTTAAGTTTTCTGCTTGAGTTAGTTTGATAGGATCTACTTGTGATAGATCAATGATATTTTGAATAAAGTTGCGTCACTATCAGTACATCTTAGTTTGTCGACCATTTCTAGGCCCTGCCCACAAGATCATGGTCTAGCGACTTTCAATTAATAAGCAATGTTGCTGTATATCAGATTGTCTTTTTCTGAATTTTATGTGAACAGGCGAGACATATCTCTTTGTCAACAGTTTATTGTCTATTATTTCGAAAACTTTTAAAGAGAAAACCTTTTATATAAAAACAGTCAGCAATACAAGATCAACAAATAAGTTAAATGACCAAATTCAACGACTGACCCCTATAGGAAGTGTTGCCCTTGAATAATTATTTTTATCCTTTTGGCATTTTTTGTAAAAACTATAGTAGATAAAGAGAATCTGCATAAGGGGTTATCATTACCCTTCGAAAGACAAGTTGTATCCATTTTGTTTGTGTTTTCTGCAGAAACTATATTAGATAAAGAGAAACGGTAAACAACAAAATTGTTCAGTAAAATAAAAACTACAAATAAGTAAACGTTGCTAAAATTGTCAATAACTCCTTATACGAGTTATTACCATTGGAAGATGATTTGATTAATTTTGCGTTTTTTGCAGAAAACATATATATATGTATAGATACAGAAAAACTGAAACTAAAACTAGGGGGGGGGGGGGGGGGGGGGGCGGCGGGGCAAAAATGTTCAGAATGTCAAGACCTACCTACTGTGTCTGTTTGCACAAAGATTGTCAGACGATGTCTCATAATACTCATTGTCCTTAAATGACGATTTTTACGAATTTTTTTCATGTTTGCTTATCATCTTGAAACTATAATGGATGAAGAGAGAAAATAAGAAAAAAAATTATCAGCAAGAGAAGATCTACAAAGTAAGCGCATGGCCGATATTGTCAGACGACTCCTTATGGTAGCTGTTGCCTTTAAATGACGATTTTTACAATTTTTTTGCTTTTTTGCCTATTATGTTACAATTTGAATAGGTAAAGAGAAATAACTTTAAAAAGCAAAGCAATGATCAGCAAAACAAGATCTGCAAATAAGTTTACATGTTGAAATTGTCAGTCGACTCCTTATAGGAGTAATTGCTCTTTTATGGTAGTATGAGAACCAGACGAAGTAGAAATACTACTGCAGCATGATGTCTACTTTCGTCGATGGACAGACATAGCAAGGAACATATTAACATACATAGAAGCATAATCATATATGTTTGTCTATTGTGGTCTGAGATGTTGCTTTGTCCAACAAAAAAACTTTTAACAACTTCCGACTCACGAAATACAGAAATACGCTCAATTTTAAAGTCTGTTTCGCTCAACATATGCTTTGCAACACTGTTAGAACATGAAATAACATATAATTTTCAGAATAAGTCTGTTTGAAGGGGACCCTATACAATGAGAATATTGTTAATTTGTTTCAGAATTGTTCTCTCCATCTCGAACATTCATGAGATGTGCTTATTTCACTCTTTAGAGGAGGGGGCACAGAAACATTAAACAAAACATTTATGTATTTATATGTGAGTACGAGTAAAAAGAACAACTATTTAACAAACCAACGAACACAATACCTACTAGATAATCTGAATGTGCCTGTCCAAAGCTAGGAGCCTGTAGTTGTCGTTGATCGCTGTATATCATAATTGCTTTTCGTATATTGTTTGGTACATAAATCAGGCCGATGGTTGTCAGGACTTGCAATACGGCATGGGTTTTGCTCATTGCTGAAGGCCGTACGGTGACCTATAGTGCTTATATTTACGTCATTTTGTCTCTGGTGGATAGTTGTCTCATTTGGCAATCAAACCACATCTTCTTATTTTTTATATCAAAAATACCAAACATATTATAGCAACAGAAGCAATTAAACCACCGCCACTGATTAACTGATAACCGCCAAATCTTCGTGATTATAAAAGCCAAACAAAATTAATCATCATCAGAATCGAAGTAATTGAACAATTGATCATTAGCGAAAACGATCAGACCAACTGAAATTATCTTACATGTGAGAGAAAAGACTTCAATACAGTACGACAGTCAAACAGCACATGCAAGCTGAAAAAAAAACGTGGAAGCTTTGGAAACATGAAAAGGAATAATAATAGCAGGACAATTCGAAACCTAAATAAAAGAATTTAAAACCCATATTGTGTTAATTGATTTGTTTAAATAGAAAGACGTGCATAAGGTTTATTAATTGTTCATGCAGACATTTGTTTCTTTTACATTCATTGCCTTCCAAATACAGATATATAGTTTTAACTGTATTAAAACATGGTATAAATGCTTTAGATTGTTATTATGCTACTATGATAATATTATCAGAATGCTACCAATCTACCATGGAACATCAGTATATTAAAAGACGATACGATGAAGACAGTGGACGAATTAAACTATCAGCGACACTTGTGACTACTCAATATTCCGTTGGTAGTAGCCAGGGTAGTGGTTTAGATGCGAGTGTTTTACATTCAGACATTACATGTGCAGTATATGGAGGACAAACCTTTCAAATACAGTCTTGAAAAATGGACAAGTGTTATGTCTATTTCCTTAAACTTTAGTTCATTTCTGCGCATGGAGGATCATGAAATTGATACATGTTTTCACTTTACACACTGGAGCCTCGGTGGTCCAGTGGTCTAGGTACTAATGATCACTATATCCTATCAACAGTGAATTGTGAGTTCGAATCACATCTGTGGCGGAGTGTGTTTGACTCCGATGTTAATTGACAAGGATTGCCAATGTTCCTGCCGAAGGTCGGTGGTTCTCTCCGGGTTCTCCCGGCTTCCTTCACCAATAAAAACTGGCCGTCGCAAAATAGCCATAATGTTCTGAAAACGGCGTAAAACTCCAACTAAAACTAACTGTTATCCCAAAATGCCCTTCTTTTACATCAGTAACATTTGTTACTGTACAAAATCATTTGATCTTATCTATATGTTGTTCTTTGTAGTTTGTTTTATGTGTATCTTTTTAAGGGGTTAGTTATTGGAGAATGAAGTAGTTTGATGCAGTGTACAATGTATTCGTTAATTTCCTTTTATTTTTGTACTATAACCTCCGACTGTGTATAGACAATTACAAACATTCACTTCTTATATCAAAGTCCGACGTAGTTTGATGCAGTGTACAATGTATTCTTTAATTTCCTTTTATTTTTATACTATAAACTCCGACTGTGTATAGACAATTGCAAACACTCACTTCTTTATATCAAAATCCATGGTCTGGAGCGCTGTTCTCTCCAAAACTACTTTTAAATAATTTTTCGAAAAATTTTCACACTGAGATTTTAGAAAAACAAACAAAGATTAAAATACTTATAACGCAAACTGAGAATTACAAATTAAACACTGGGAATTAAACACACTTTGATTTGTGCGCACATTTTAAAAAAGAGTGCACACGCTGAATTGTCTGGCCTGCTTTACTGACCATTGATTTTATATTGAAAGTCTTAAAGATAAAAAGTTTACTACAAGTATCACATACACTTAACATTTTTAAAGATCGATGACAATGAGTCCAAGGTCAGATGAATCATGCAAGACAGACGATGTACACCTTACAATCATTCCATACATCAAATATAGTTGACCTATTGCTTATAGTACATGAAAACAGACCCAAACACAAAAACTTAACACTGACCATTGAACCTTGAAAATGAGGTCAAGGTAAGACGAAACCTGCCAGACTGACATGTAACCCTTACAATCATACCATACACCACATACAGTTGACCTACTGCTTATAGTATCTGAGAAACGCACCTAATCACATAACTTTTAGACATTGCAAGGAACCCATACACAAATATAGTTATCCTATTACTAATAATAAGTCTGAAATTCACACGACAAAAAACTGACTCTACTTTTTTTTCAAGCAGTCTCTGAATCATGAAAATGAGGTCAAGGACAATGGCATTTGACAGACGGAAACTTCGTAACATAATGTACCTGCATAAAAGGTATGAAGCATCCAGGTCTTTTACCTTCTGAAACATAAGTTTTTAACAAATAGTTTACGCCACCGCCGCCGATAGTAATCCCTATCTCTCGCATACTGCGACCTTCGTCGCAGGCGAGAAATAAAAACCGTAAAAATGTACGGGAAGTTTCTTCCTTCGCGTGAATGTGAAATCGTCTACATTTAGCGTTTTGAAACTATTAACCGGTAAAATGTCTATTTCAGACAATTTCGTAACAAGAGTGCACACGCTGAAATGTCTCGCCTTCTTTACTAACCATTGATTTTATGTTGATAGTCCTAAATACAAAGCTTTACTACAAGTAACACATAAACTTAACATGATCCAAAAAAATGAGGTCAAGGTCAGATAAACCAAACGAGAAATACATGTACATCTTACAATCATTCAATAAACCAAACATAGTTGACCTATTGCTTATTGTTTCTAAGAAATAGTCTTAAACAAGAAAACTTAAAATTGACCAATGAACCATGAAAATGAGGTCAAGGTCAGATGAACCATGCCAGACAGACATGTACACCTTACAATCAATTTAGGCATTAAATATAGTTGACCTATTGCTTATAGTATCTAAGAAACAAACTTAACCATGAAAACTTAATATTGACCAATGAACCATGAAAATGAGGTCAAGGTCAGATGATACCTGCAAGACAGACATATACACCTTACAGTCCTTCCATACATCAAATATAGTTGATCTATTGCTTATAGTTGAAGAAAAACAGACCAAAACACAAAAACTTAACACTGAGAAATGAACCGTGAAAATGAGGTCAAGGTCAAATAAAACCTGTGAGACTGACATGTACATCATAAAATATTTCCATACACCATTTATAGTTGACCTATTGCATATAGTATTAGAAAAAAAGACCAAAACTCAAAAACTTACCTTTGACCACTGAACCATGAAAATGAGGTCAAGGTCAGATGACACCTACCAGTTGGACATGTACACCTTACAATCATTCCATATACCAAATATAGTAGACCTACTGCTTATAGTATCTGATATATGGACTTGACCACGAAAACTTAACCTTGTTCACCGATCCATGAAATGAGGTCAAAGTCAAATGAAAATTGTCTGACGGGCATGAGGACCTTGCAAGGTACGCACATACTAAATATAGTTATCCTTTTACTCATAATAATAAAGGAATTAACATTACAAAAAATGTTGACTTTTTTTTCAAGTAGTCACTGAACCATGAAAATGAGGTCAAGGACAATGGACATATGACAGACGGAAAACTTGGTAACATAAGGCATCTATATACAAAGTATGAAGCATCCAGGTCTTCTAGCTTCTAAAATATAAAGCTTTTAAGAAGTTAGCTAACGCCGCCGCCGCCGCCGCCGGATCACTATCCCTATGTCGAGCTTTCTGCGACAAAAGTCGCAGGCTCAACAAAAATAGTCTATAATTTTTTAAAGAAAATACACACTGAGGTAGTGGAATTTTTACGTCGTCCGCTTCAGATGAAAAAATGATGGTTTAACAAAGTATTCCATTTGGAACAGTTGTAAGAGTTACAGTATGAAGAGAATAACCATACATTGTCTAGAAATATATAATACCAGTTTCTTTATTGATAATAAAACACTTACTTACTGGCTTTTCGGACAATAGCGTCGCGTCGTTAAATAGTCGGTGTCTCGGGGGGAAATAAACTTGTTATTGTCCTCATAGCCAGTCAATGAGTAGAAATTATTCCAACACTTACCAAAACTTTTTATACTTATTAGTCGTCGTATGTTTGATTGCAATTTTATGTTTTTGTAGATTAAGAAAATCAGTCTAAGACTCGACAAACTGACATTATTTTATACAAGAAATGTTCTATCGTATTTTCAAATTGTATATTTTCAAAACACAAAACCAATTAACCTTTTTTATTTTATTATTTGGACTAACTTTTGAATACTTCAGTGTCAAAAGAGTACTTGATTTCATTCTGTATGACGAATAAGCATTATCCGGTAAGTTGTAATATTGATATAGATGACTGACAACTTCCCTGTATGAACTTGTTGTTTCCGTTGTCTATAGATAATGTATCATTTGCACTCAAGAGTATTAGCTGCACAATGGTACTTGTCTGGTAGCCTTTATAAAGGGAAAATTGGCCATACGCCATAATTTCGCTGTTTTTCTTAAGATAATAGTACCCATTGGTTTGTGTCGTAATGAATGAGGATACAAAGTAAAGTCCAGGTTTCTCGCATTTAAAAATCCCAGTAGTTCTAATAGATGATATCACAGAATCTGTAACGCCAAGATATGTCTGAATGTAGGGAAACTGTATTTTCTCATTACTCGAGTAGGGTTTGGCTAATGCACATGCTGTTACTGCAACTAGATGAATAAATAGTTTCCAAATTTAATTTTAACAAATTCAATAACAATATTTAATTATTTCTATGAAAGATTTATGCAATATGAAGGTATTGAAAGCTAAGTCTAGAAGTTTATTAACTTGATAAAGTATAAAGCGGCTGGTCTTATTAATGGCAACATTATTAACATACCAGTGTCCTTTGTTATATATATCGTAAACATATTAAAACACTCGGTAAAGAGAATGATAAACCCTGGGAGAAATTCAGGAAAAGTAACATTGCTCTCAACGAAACCCACCATTTTTTAAAGTCTCACTGGTTGCGGTTAAAAGTGACTTCAGGACGACTGTTAACCATAGTTCTCTGTGTAAGTGCATTTCTAGTCAGTGAAGAATTTTACTTTTGAAAATGAAAAAATTATAAATGACACAGAGGAAGTTTCTGACAGTTTCAATACTTGTCTAAACTGTCGGAAAAGATGTAACATTATACTTCTATATACATTCTAGTATAACACAAAGAAAAACATATACTCATGATGAAGCAGAAAAATTATAAATAAAATTAAAAACCAACTGTTCAGAGAACAATTGAAGGTCTTTCCACCTCAATTTCGACAAGAAAGAATGAAATTTAAAAAAACAGGGTTAGAAGATGTCACTTCTGGTTCATATAATTTGTTAAGAAGAAAGATTTCTATGTACTTTTTTATTGAATTATTATGAAAAAGGCTACTTCCGGTTAAAATAAAGTCATTTCCGGCTAACCTTTTAAAAGGTCATCCATCTGAATATAGATGATCCATAACTGGTGAAATGTCTACCAACTAAATGCAAAAGACATAATGGTTTTATAATGAACCAATACAAATTTTTAGCAAAGATCAAAATCTAGAACGTCAAATTGACCTTTGACCTTGACCTCAATTTCAAGGTCAGAGGTCAATGATCTCAAATCAAAAGATCCCAGGTCATTCAATTGTATGGTTGAGGAGTAATACTGATTTCAAATACATAAGAGGAAAAAACTCCTATAAAGGGTGACCGAAACACTTCGACATTAATGGGTTGAAGTTGAGCCATGACGTAAATAATTATTTGGCAAACGCTTCTTATCATTTACTGAACATGAACTTGACATTTGACCTTGACCTCAATTTCCTCCAAATGGACCAAGGACTTTATATCAAAAGACTTTAGGCCTCTATGACTTATGGTGTATGAATTTATTCAACATATCACCAATGTTAAATTTTCCAAGGGAAATAACTCCCATAATATGTCATTGGATCACTTCGGTTAAGCTTAAACAAAACATTTTGAATAGAAGACAAGCAATTTGGTGAAATTAGTTTGCTGATATCTTTTACGATTTCCGAGAAATAAAGATAACAAGAACTAGAGGCTCTAAAGAGCCTGTGTCGCTCACCTTGGTCAATGTGCATATTCAACAAAGGACACTCTCCAACATTGAAGACAAGAATAGAATTCATAAGAAAAATCTCTGTTTTATTGATCTTGTATTGCTGATCATTTAGTCTGTTTAGTTTCTCTCTATCTTCTTTAGTTTTTGCTCAAAACACAAAAGAGGGTAAAATAATCCTTATTTAAGGGGCTGGGCAATCACTCCTATAAAGAGTGTCAGCACTACCTTTATCAGCAAAATGTGACTTGTTAGTAGATCGGAAGATTTCCTTAATATTGTCTTAATTGTAGATCTTGTCTTGCTGATCATTTTTGTCTATTTAAGTTTCTATCTATCTATTTTAATTTTTACGAAATAAGGCAAAAACGCAAAATATTGTAAAAATCATCATCAAAGGGCAATAACTCTCATAAGGAGTAGGCTGGCGATATTTGCAATAGAACTTATTTGTAGAACTAGTCTTGCTGATCATTTTTGCAATTTAATGTTTCTCTTTATCTATTATAGTTTCAAGATAATAGGCAAAAATGAAATAAAATAATAAAATTTGTCATTTAAGGGCAATAACTCCTATAAGAAGTCGTCTGACAATTTTGACGTAAATTGACAGTTGGTAGAGCTCAACATTCTGTTCAGAGAACATTTGAAGGTCTTTCCACCTGAATTTCGATAATGAAGAATGAAATTTAAAAAGACGGTGTTACAAGGTATCACTTTTGGTGTAATTTGTTACTTCAAACTGTTTTTAGAAGATAAGATTCTAGGTACTTTTTCATCGAAATAGGGTACTCCCGGTTAACCTTTTAAAAGGCAAAACGTCTACAATACCAAATGCAAAAGAACTAATGCTTTTATAATGACCCAGTATAAATTTTAAGCAAAGGTCAAAATCTAGAACGTCAAATTGACCCTTTTCCGTGACATCAATTTCAAGGTCATAGGTCAGTGATCTCAAATCGAAAGATCCCAGGTCATTCACTTCTGGTTGAGGAGTAATACTGATTTCAATAACATAAGGGGAGAACACTCCTGCGAAGGATGACTGAAACACTTGTGTTGAAGTTGCGCCATGTTGTAAACAATAATTTGGCAAACGTATTGTATCCTTAATTATTACGGTTTATTTGGAATAAAGATAACAAGCAAGGTTCAAAATTTAGAACATGACCTTGACCTTTGACTTTGACCTCAATTTCCTCAAAATTGACCAAGGACTTATATCAAAACACTTTAGGCCTTTATGACTTATGGTGTATGAATTTATTCAACATATCACTTATGTTGAATTTTTAAAGGAAAATAACTCCCGTAAGATGTCATTGGATTACTTCGGTTAAACAAAACCAAAACATCCTTTGGAGTAGACAAACAATTTGGTGAAAAACATTTGTTGATATCTTTTACGGTTTTAGAGAAATAAAGATAACACGAAAAAGGGGGCGCGGGGAGATAACTCCTATACGAGTAAGTGTTCATCTTTCTGGTTGCTGAAAGTGTGTACATACTGCAAACATCACGAACATAGAAAATGCACATATTGGACCTTTTAATAAATATATAAAGGGGTTGTGAGGAGAGGGACATAAATATACTAAAATAGTCTGAGGAGGGGGGGGGCAAACTTAAATATACTAAAATGTTCTGAGAAGGATGACAAACATAAATATACTAAATACTCTGAGGAGGGGGACAAACATAAAAATAAACTAAAATGTTCTCAGGGGGGGGGACAAACGTAAATGTACAAAAATATCAATTTCCACTTCACAATTCAAAGGAACATGACTGTTATATGTATAAATATATATAACTACAAAAAGGGATGGTTTTATCATAATCATAAAGGCTTCAGTTTAGACTAAGTACTATAGATTGGAGGAAAAGGGGAAGGGTGCAATAATAATCATTGGCCCGTTTATGATCTTAACAAAAATTACACACTAAACTGAAAGGTGTTTGAAAACACTATCAAGAATTTGAACTGATTATCAGATTATCAGTGGCTATATTTATACCTTATAAACAGGTTTGGATCAAACATGCATATTTCTGACATGCAGTATACAGGTCGTCACTCCTGTACCCACAATGGAAACAAGACCACAAGACAGGTGACTAGTCCATCTTGCACTCCTGTTTCGGCCCAAAGTTTTATCATAAAATGATTTTGTTATACCACTGATAATCGATGTATATGAAAGCTTACACGTGTAAATACATGTTGTGTGAAATGATAAAAATAACGACAACTAAAACAATTGTGGTTATTTGGTATACTATTAGTCAGTGATCTTTGTTCAAAGTTACAACCTTCACTTGTGTAAAACAATAGGTTCTATGATACAACAAGGATACACAGACTATAGCTCGATTTATTGCTTGTTTTCTTAATGTCATTGGCAAATATTTCAGACATATTTAGAACAAAGTTAATATTCACTTAATTAGAATAATGAAGTTATCTTAATTGATAAATTCTTAATGTGAAAATGAAAAACAAAAACACAACCTATTCTAACATTTATTTTACAATCGGCTCTTGAACGGCCTGTACTTGCAAACAGATTAACCATATTTGGATTAGGATGGGGCTGAAACTCTCTGTGGTTGACTTGCGGAACGAGTGGTACTTAGTACTTTGGTAAAATTGTATTCGTTTTTCGATGCCTTTTATTTGGGGGCGTTTCTGTTGTCTATTAATATGATTAAGAACATTGACAGGGGGGACGTAAAAATGTGCATTCTCAAAATGTTCGTAACTATGATAGTATGTATCACACTTACCATCACTTCTGAGTTAGTTCTGCGGTTCAGGTTTGTCCTTTATAGCACTGGTGACTTCGACGGGTTCTGGCTTCGATGCTATCTGCATGGTGGTGTCTGCTAGCAAAGCAGCATCTATGGCCTCACTTATGGAAAAGTTTTGTTTAAGACCGGTTGCGGTGACAAACGGAACAACAAACTCTGGTCTAAGTCCACGATGAATAAATTGTTCCATCATTACCGTTTGACCAGCTAGAAAACACAGTCTCTCGATCCTTGATATGAATTGTGAAACGGTTTCGTCGTCTTTTTGTTTTACATCGGCCGCATCTTTCCAAAATCCAGCTTTTTCTATCCCTTTTCTTCCAAAGAGCTCCTTAAATTTTCGGAAAAGTTTATCTTAGCTATTTCGGTCTTCGGCGTCTAGTAGCATATACCATGCCAAAGCATAATTGTCTATGAAACACGTGAATGCTCTTGTGGCTTGCACGTCGTCCCACTTTGCAAATTCACACATGAGTTCGTATCTTTTTATCCAAACGTCTGCATTTTTGGTTTTGAAAGCACAAAAATGTTCAAACTTCGGTAACTCCATTTTTAAAATTTTCGTATACTGGGACTAGTTCATAAATAAAACACATCGCTTGGCTGCAAAGGTTACGGTAATCGAGGGATCCTCCCCAATTATAACCCCGTAAATTTCGGTATAACTCCGTGGATTTCGGCAAGGGTTACATTAACGTCTGTAGGTCTATAATCGACACTGTGGCTGCTTTAAACGCAAGACCGTATACAATTTATACAAATTTATTAACACAAGTTTACAGC